AAAAAATGAAATGATGCTTGTCACAGTATGTGCACCACAGATAACTTTTAGCATGTCCGTTATGATTTGTCAAACTAAACCTTAAGTACCTCAGAACAAAGTCACTTTAATTTTCGGTTTTATTGAACTGCCTTTTGTAATTGGAAGTATAAATTTCAGTTAGGTGTTAAACTCGTGTAATATCCTATAATTCAATAGTTGGGTTTGTCTCAATCTTCTTTTTGCCAGATTTAAAATGTTGACTTGTCCTGTTGAATTGGCTTCAGAATTGCCTAAGAAATAACCCCTAGGTGTTGGGGTAGGCCATTCAGCCCCTCCAGCCTGGCCCATCATTCAACAAGATCATGATTGATTTATCTCATGCTTGAACCCTTCTTTTCATGCTATCTTATTATAGTTCTTAACTCTAATACTTCAAAAATCTATCTTTCTCCTTCTTAAGTACTTTGTGACCTAGTCTGTGCAGCTCTCTCAGGTAGAGAATTACAGACATTCACTACTCTCCAAGATAAGTAATTCCTTCGCACGTCAGTTTTAAATGAGCATCCCCTTATTCTGTAACTGTGTACTCTATTTTGAGGTGGAAACATCATCTCAATATCTACCCTTCCATGCAGCCTCAGAATCTTGTACGTTTCAATAAGATCACCCTTCATTTATAGAACCACACAGTACAGAAGAGGCGCTTTGGCTCATCAAATCTGTACTTCCAAAAATACCTACACTAGTCCCGTTTTCCTGCAGTTAGCCCGTAGCTTTGAATGTTATGACAGTTCACGTGCTCATCCATGTAATTTTTTAAAGGTTATGTGGTTTCCTGCCTCAACTACCCTCCCAGGCAGTGCAATCCAGACTCTCCCCACCCTCTGGGGGGGGGAAATATTTTTTTCAAATCCCCTATAAACCACCTGCCTTTCACTTTAAAATATGCCCTCTTGTTAATGACCCTTTAAGAGGAACCATTGCTTTCTCTTCACACTGTCTGTGCCTCAGAATCTTATACACATCTATCAGGTTCCCTCCCTTAACCTTCTCTGTTCCAAAGAAAACAACTGAGCTTATCCGGTCTCTCATCATAGATGAAATGCTCCATCCCAAGCAAAATCCTTGCACCCCCTCCAGTGCAATTGCATCCTTCCTGTAGTGTAGTAACCAGAACTGCACACGTACTCCAGGTGTGGCCTAACCAAACTTCTTTACAGCTCCAACTTGAGCTCCCTGCGCTTATAATTTATGCCACGATTGATTAAAGGCATGCATCCTATATGCCACCTTAATTACTTTATTTCTTGTCTTTCCACTTTCAGAGATCAGTGGACAAGCACCCCAAGATCCCTGTGTTCCTCTGAGCTCCTGGTGTCTTGCCCTTCAATGAGTATTCCCTTATCTCGTTCCTTCTTCCGAAGCATCACCTCATATTGAGCAGGGTTAAATTCTGTCTGACATTGATCTGCCCTTCTGGCCAATCTGTTTATATCCTCCTTTAACCTAACACCTTCCTCCTCATAGTCAACCATCCAGCTAATCTTTGTGCTATCTGCAAACTTACTTATCATCCCTCCCACCTTCTCATCCACATAATTTATGAACATCACAAACAATAAGGGACCCAACACTGATCCCTGTGGTATGCCACTGCACACTGGGCTCCAGTCACACAAATGTCCTTCTACCACCACCCTCAGTCTCCTGATACTAAACTAATTTTGGATCCGTCTTGCTAAGTTACCCTGGATCCTATGAGCTTACCTTCTTTATCTATTTCCCATGGGGGACCTTGTCATTCTTCCAGACTCTGATGAATAAAGATTTAACCTGTTTCACTGTTTTTGCTAAGCCAATCCGTTTATACCAAGAATCAGCATAGTTTATCTCTTTTGAACACCCTCCATTGTCAGTATATCCTTTCTTAAAACAGGAACCAAAACTGTACACAGTCTACCAGGTGTGGCATCACAAACTCCACCTACTGTTAAAACAAGACTGCCCGATTTTTAAATCCTGACTGCCTAGCATTTAAGGCCGAAGTTCCATTTGTCGTCTTAGTCACTTGCTGTCCCTGCAAGCTAACTTTGTGTTTCACGTGCAAGAACCCACCAGTCCTTCCGCTCTGCACTTCCTTGGAATCTCTATCCATTTAAGTAATAGTCTGCATTTTGATTCTTCCTACCAAAGTGTAAGACTTCACACTGTCCTATGTCAAAGTCCATCTGCCAAGTTTTTTTTTTTTTCTCCACTCCCTCACTCTATCTGTGTCCTTTGCAGATTCATGTCGTCATCACAGGAGTCCCTCCCACCTATTTTTATATGTTAGCAAATTTGGACACGTTACACTCTGCCCTCTCCTCAAAGTCATTAATAGAGATATGAAATTATTTAGGCTCTTTGACTAACCCTTGTAGCACTCCATTAATTATCCAACCTGAAAAGGACCTATTAATCCTAATACACTCACCTGTGCGTGAACCAATCTTCAATTCCTGCTAATACTTTACTCCCATTGTTCCTGTTCTGTGCAGTGACCTTTTAATGTACCATATTGAATCTGGAAATCCAAATATAGTACATCTGCCATTTTCCCCTTTATTAATTCTGCTTGCTAGCAGATTTGTCAAACATGATTTCACTTTTCACAAAATCATGTTGACTCTGTTTGATTATGTTCAGTTTTTCTAAATATCCTGGTATTTCTTCCTTGATAATGGGCATTAGCATTTTACCACAACAGATGGTAAGCTAACTGGCCTACAGGAAGACAGGGATCACTGCTGTCCAGTAAGCCATGATCTCAGTCACTGGTTTGAGATCATGGTCTTCATGTACTGTTTACTTTAGATGGCCAATTGTTGAGCTAGCAAATTAAGTGTTGTTGATAAAGTTTGTCTTCTATATCTGCCTTGCCAAGAAGGGGGAAGTGAGTGGGAATTTGTTACTCACTCTACACCATGCTTAGCTCTGTCTTCTTTGACTAAATGCTCTTATTTACATCGTTCATCTCGCAAACACTACAGAAGGAAGTATACTCCATAATAGCTGTTATACGCAAGACAGCAAGAAGGAAAATGAATGGAAAGAAAAGTCATTGGTGAAGATAAATACCTTTTTTAAAGATGTCACCATAATATAAATGATTTTCACCATTGGAGTATAGAGGACAGCTGTAATGTTTGAAAACTAATCTGGTCTGGTCCTTTAAGGTCACTATTGAGATCTAATGGCTGATTCTAGCACGTTGAAATGAGGAGGGGGTGGTTTTGGAAATACTGGAATGTTAAGGCCTTGGGATATCTTTTCATGGGGGAAACTTTTAAATTAATTAAACAGTTTTCCTTTGAAAGTAAGGGAATCAGAGAACATGGGGATAGGGCAGGAGAAAGGTAGAAAGTGGAAACCTTGGGCATGACCTTTTACTGAGTGGTATAACATGCTGAAGGAGCTGTACAGCCTCTAGAGTTCCAATTTCTTCTCCTGTTCGGAAAAATTGAGATCCATGTTCATGCTAAGCTGCTCTACCATCTGAAATTGGATAGGTCAGGGCTGATATGTGATCAAACTTAGGACCTTCCATCTTTGTGGCTAAGGACTTATCCTTAGGGTAAACTTGGATATTGAGTGACATGACATTAGGAGCAAATTCCACTAATTTCAGCCAAAGTGTAATCCGTATGGGGAACAGAGTTTGCCATCAGGTTGCAGACAAAGGAAATGGAGCACTAATCAGTTCTTTACTGGAACATGTCACCTGTTCCCTTGTTGAAAGAAGGAGTTCAACGATTGTTATTTTGAAATTAATTATGATTTTAAGAAATTTATTTTGAAACAGTAGAATGACACGTACTTTTCAGTTCAATAAAGTTTAGTTATAGCTTGAAGTGCAATGCAATCTTCAAGTTCATCTTACAAGTATTGGTATGGCTTGACTTGACTTTAAGAGTAGGATCCTGAGGCAGTGATAACTTGTATTGCAAGAGGAAAGGAATATGTGTTTCTGAACACTAATCCTGGTTTTGCTGGGAGTGACTTAGGGAAATGTTTCTCCAGGAGAAGGGTGAATAACTTTCCCTGATATTTCTTTGCACAAACATTTCTTCTTCACTGCAACCTGGTAGATTTCCAACAGAGCCGCATGTAATCTGATTTTAAGGCTAAGGTGCAATTTTGTTTTGGATGGATATATGATGTTAGCTAAACACGGTTAGGAGGCATTTCCTCGGCAGGTATTTAACACCCCCACACCAGAATTCCTGTCAGTGAAGGAGAATAGATTTCCTGTGGGGGCTCTGAAATTTGCTTCATTGAAGAGGGTCAGCTGCAAATTTGACACCGGGCCAAACAATTTCTATCTGGTTACATTGGGAAAATACTTTGAGATTATATCCTTTACATACTGCAATCTGTAATAGAGCTCCTGCCAGACGCTGAGCAATCAGAGCATTGAAGGCATTGAATGTTATTCATCCTGAATACTTCATTACCACTGTTTGTAGGACAGTGCAAAGTGAACTGTATCTTACTCAGTTGAACATTTTGGAAAATTAAATGGAAGGAGTTGGTACATGGTTGTGATTTTGTTTAGGTCAGCTTGTTAATGTTAGGGTAAGTGAATTGTTATTATGCTGGATGTTCTCCGTGGAGCCAGCAGATGATGATTGTCTGGGAGCATAGGGCAATTAATACCATTCATTTTTAGATTTTAAATTTTCTATGCCATTATCTACAATGGTAGGTGGCTATTTATTATGTCACCCGCAAGCAAAACAATAACTACACATAAACATTTTTACTTTTAAATTGGCCTTCATGGTAGTGTACTCATTATGGTGAATAGTTTAGTCATCCGAAAATGGTTCCCCAAATTAGATATCTTTCATCTCAATAGTAGTAAATATGGTTTCAGAGACATCGTAATGTTGATGGTTGTGACTGGTGTTTTCTGCGCAAGAGCATTGAGTTAGTGAGTCTCTTTGTTTTGTAATTTTTTTTTTATCCTGCCTGAACAGACAAAGTACATGTATATTTGGATAAGAAGGAAGCTCTTCAAGCTGTAAAGTTGATGAAAGGATCTCGTTTCAAAGCTTTCACAAACAGGGAAGATGCAGAAAAGTTTGCCAGAGGGATTTGTGACTACTTCCCTTCACCAAGCAAGTCGGCTGCTTGTGTATCTCCATTGAAAGCCAATATGATGTATAGCAGAGGTAAATTGTTAACAACTAATTTCTCGAGGATTTTGGAAGTTTTGTGCTATTCCTATGGCTTCAACATTTTCTTGGTTTTTTTTTCATCATAACAAAACTGGTTTGATTTGATAATTTTCTAGAAATACATACCTGATAGGGGAACTATTTCCACTGTCCTAACTTTCATAATAAATACACAATGAAAGCAAAAAAGTGAAATTAAAATTTTCTAACTTTTCAGGTTTTATACTGGTTTATGTAGTTATTGATGTAGTTTGCATAGTGCAACTGATATTTCAGTAAGTGCTAGTTTGAATACACATCTATTTTATCTCAAGCTGTGGCACACTATCATGAAACATTATTGTTAGATATATGTTCTATGTTCTGTAAGTGATTGTACATAGCACAAGTGTGATGTTAAAGTATTAAATTAATTAAAATATTTGCTTAATTTCTCTTGCATGCATCCGTTCACTCACTCACTCACTCCCTCCTTCCCTCCCTCCAAATGTCAGCTGACAGCAGGTTTATCCTTATTCTCAATTAACTCATGGTCAAAAAGCCAACAACAGTTACTGCCCAGACTCTCAAATATAGAATGAATGTTTTGGCACAATACTGGAGGATCAGTACACCTTGTGGGGCTATATACTGAGACCTTTAGATAATGAATATCAAGATCAAAATATAGTTCAACTCTAATTAGATAAAAGATTGTCCTCAATGATAAGAGAATGAATTATTAATGAATTTTGACAGGTTGGATTCTGCAAATGGAATCTTTCTTAACGGAAGAAAGAAAGGTGAATTGATTTTTTTTTTTGGCTTCTCTTGCCTTTCTTGATTATCCTGATCCTGTTCCTCCTGCAGTGTCTACAGGCTGATCATTGAATAAAATTTAATTGGTAAAAATGTAATCTCTCCATTTCATCCACTGTTGAAACAAGCAATCAAAATTAAGATTATTCCTTTTCCTCCACTATTGCTGTATCACTTAAAACCTAAGCAAAAGGTCACTGCTGTAGCTTGAGCAATTAAATCATCTCAAAGCATTTTTTAACAAGCAGTGTTGAGAGCTGAGTTTTGCTGCAGCATACAATGGACTGATCTGTATTCTTTGAACAGTTTTGTCATGTACTTTTTTCTCCAGTTAAAGACATACATTTGTTGAGGTTTTTCTGTTTATTCGTTTTTTTTGTTAGATGGCACAAGTTCTCTGGAAGTAGAAAGCACCAATAGGGAGAGAGCCAACAGTTTCAAAAGTCCACGCTCTCAGGACTTAACATCCAAGCTACGGAAGGCTGTTGAAAAAGGAGACAAGGCCATCTTTCTTGATCTTGTGTGGAGTAATCCACGTTACCTAATTGGATCTGGGGACAACCCTACAGTTCTGCAGGTTTGAGGATTTCATGCAAGTTATTCTGTTTCTTGAACTGTAAAATATTAATCACTACCATAGTCTACCGTTGAGTAGTTCAGGTACTCTAGGAAATGTGCTTCACCCCCGTAAACAAAGAAATGTCTGAGTTTGTGAATTAGACATGGGGAAAGGCTTAGAGAAAAAGAACAGGTTTATGCAGTGATCACTGATAGCACTGTTCTGACATTGTACTGTGTCTGGAATTGAGAATGCAAGCTGCCTGTGTTTCTCAGACACTTGACTCTGGTTGTGTGGGTAATATTGACATTTTATTGTTGATGTTTCATTGGGAACTGATCAGAGCTTGGGTTGGTTTGCTTTGACCCTTGTGATTCTGTGTTCTATTCAATGGTTTCTCTAAAGTACTCACTGGTCCATTACTCTTGAGCATTAGAAAATGTTTAATCAAGCTCAATAAATACAGTGCACAACAAAAATGGGAATAAATGTCTTCTGTCTGTTAAGAGCCATGAATCATTGCACACTGTCTTGGCTAACTCGTTCTTATGTTACATCTGTGACAGCTCAATCTGATCTAGCTTACTGACATTGTCTGTAACAGGAGCAGGAAATAAGAAAACTGTACATCAGTGCAATGACATTTCACTTGGATTTTGTATGTGGCGGTGGTAACATATCTCTGAGCAAGGGCAAACATCAGTTTGCAATTACATACAAAAACAGAAATTGCTGAAGAAACTCAGCAGGTCTGGCAGCGCCTGTGGAAGGAAAGCAGAGTTAACATTTTGGGTCCACTGGAGCAGAACTGTTAACTCTGCTTTCTGTCTATAGATGCTGCCAGACTTGCTGAGTTTCTGTAGCAATTTCTGTTTTTGTTTTGGATTTTCAGCATCTGCAGTTCTTTGTTTTTTTTTTGACCAGTTTGCAATTACATGGACACTACCGAAAAGATCTGAGGTTTTGAAGGGCAGTGTGGGTTGAAAACCAAGTTTGTAGAAAGTAGGATCAATAGAACTGCTCCAGCCATCCTGTACCTGGTTATCCAATTTATTTGGTGAAATTCTGGAGAAAGTCACCTTACTACTGCCTCAGCAAGGGAATTGAGCATGGAACAAGGGAGGTGTGGATGAGAAAATAAATTTCCTCTGAGAAATAAAATACCTTTTGTGTATAAACTGCAGGAAGGATGTCGATATAATGCTATGCATGTCGTTGCTAAAGAAAATCAGCCTCAAATTTGCCAACTTCTACTGGACACATTGGAAAACCCTGAGTTTATGCTGCTGATGTATCCAGATGATAATGAAGTTATGCTGCAAAAACGAATCAAATACATAGTTGACCTTTATCTCAATACACCAGATAAAATGGTTGGTATTACTTTTTTTTGTCCAGCAATGAATATTGATGTGACTTGTGCAATTTCAGATAACCTTCTAAATAGACTAACATATGGTATTGTCTACGATTAATGAAGAATGTTGATTTTTATATTGTGTAAAACAAAAAAAGCATAAATGGCCAGCTATTTGAGTCTGGTTATACAGGACAGTGTGTAGCTTGAACTTCAGGTTGGATTGTAGTTTTTTATTGTTTTTTGTTGAATTGTGCATTTTTGTACATTTCCTTTACATCCAATGTGGTCTGTCTGAGGATATTAATAAAATCTAACATGAAACTGCAAAATAATTTTGACTTGCACTCTATTAAACAGCTCTTAAATCTAAATTTCTTAGTTCACCGTTCTTGTTACAAATATTTGTGGTTTGCATGTATCTACATTTAAAAGAGCAGATTAGCCGTGATTTGTTGAATGGCAGAGCAGGCTTTACAGGCCATATGGTCTACTCGGTCTCCTATTTGTTGTGTTCTTGTATTCATCATCTACCTACTTCAGTAACCAGTTGTACCATCTTCTTGAGAGATATAACACTTCAGACAGCTGTTATTGCCACATCCTGAATTCCTACAGTACTCTGTGCTATGCGCTGCCACATATGGAGACTTAATCTTTTTCCACTCCATAAGCACCAACTCCTCCTGTCTCGATGCTCCAGTTCCATTTTGGTCATTCATCTCATTCGATGCCTGAATAAGAAAAATTTTTCTTTTCCATTCAGATGTTAAGGAACACAAGCTGCAACAACTCACTGGTATTAATGCCTCCCTACCCTTCACCTTTTCACTTTAGAATAGTCTTTCCTTCAAGTTTCACTTTTTCCAATTCAAAGGTGTGATTAGGGGTACGCACAAGTCCCAGTTATGTCTGTTACTTTGCAGGCTATGTGGACATTGCACCTTGCAGTCCCATGCAAGGGTGGGCCCTCCCACAACACACTTTTTAGTACATTGATGATATCGTCAATGCTGCTTACTCTTTTTGTCTAGAATTGGAAAATTAGTCAGTTACGCTTCCAACGACCATCCATCTCTCACCTCTCACTTGGGCCATCTCTGACTCTTCCTTGACTCCGCTGTTTTAATTTCTGCGGATAGGCTGTCCATCAATATCCAGTACAAACCCACAGCTATCTTGGCTACACTTATTCACAATATGCTTCCTTTTAGGTCTACGTGCCACTCTCCCAGTTTCTCTGTCTCCATCACATCTGTTCCAATATTGCAATCTTCTACAGGAGTGCCTCTGACATGTCTTCCTTTTTCCTCAACTGAGGACTCCCCCACCCATGTTTGAATGCCATGTCCAACAGTTTCTTGCACTTCTACCCTTGTCATTTCCCCTCCATCCCAGAACAACAACAACAAAGTTCTCCTTGCCCTTACTTCCCACTCCACCAGCCTCTCCAGTCAAAGACTCACCCTCTGCCACTACCAAATGCATCACCCCCTTCCATGTCAGCATTCTACAAGGACTATTCCGCCATGACACCCTGGTCTTCTACTTCCCAACATTTCCTCAACCCACATTCCTATCCAATTTGCAGAAGGTATAACACTTGCTCTTGTCCTCCAAATACAGCTTCCAGGTCAGGCAATGTTTTACTTCCACTTTTTTCAATCTATTCCATTGTATTCCCTGCTCACGTTGAGCTTGCCTCTGCATTGCCAAGATCAAATACAGACTGGGTGATTGCTTAAAGGAATACCTCAGCTTTGTCTGTAAGATTGACCTCAAGTTTGCAGTAGCTTGCTATTTCAGTACACCTTCATGCTGTCATGTTTACCTTTCTGTGCGAGGCCCAATGCAGTGGTCCGCCGAAGCCTAGTGAGAGAACAATAGTTCTTTTTCTGCTTAACACCTTACAGCCTTCAATACTCAACATCGAGTTTAACAAATTAAGAGCAGGAACACTCCTTCATTTTGACACCCACTTCCCCACCAGTTTTTCATTTAGTGTGCTCGTTCTCCGCAAAGCTGACCTGTTTTGTACTTTTCACACTTACCATTAATATCTAATATATCTTTCCTCTACTATTATTAGCGCTCCATTTATCTTTTGCTTTGTGGGCTCTCACTATTTGCTTCACTCTGTCCTCATTCCCCTTTGTCAACTGCATAAAAGCCATCATTTTCCAGACTCTCTCAGCTCTGAAGAAGTCAAGTTGGATTCAAAATGTTAAATTTGTTTCACTCTCCACAGATGCTGCCAGACCTGCTGAGTTTGTCCAGTTTCACTTTTCATTTGTACCATGGCAACACGTTTTAGTATCTTTCTTCTTGTTCCATGTCCCAGTCATTGACATAGATGGAAGATCAGAGACTCCAGCACTGAAGCCTGTGCAAGATAATTACTTTGATATTATTTGATTGCCCTTGAATTTGGAAATTTACTTGGAAAATGACCCCTTTAACTATTAGAAAAAGCTACCTAAATCTTTATTGCTATCTACATTTAAAGGACATAAATCTAATTGTTGAAATCTCAATGTTTTAGAAATATATTAAAAAGGTTGTCTCTCTAAATGCCTGAGTGAGTTGAAAATCATTCGCATTTATGTTATTTTCCCATGATCGTAGCAATTATGTTAGAACAAAGCAACCATCTTACTGGATTACGGTAAAATGCTCACATCAGTGGCCATCAGCAAACGATTTGTGTATGGTCAAGCTTGGTGCTATCTACAAAAAATTGCGTTCATGTGGTTCCCTTAATATAATGAAATTGTCAACATCACATACGTGCATTATCCGATAGATGCAATGAGATGAAGTGTAGAAGAACTCGAGTCCAAGGGTATTGAGTTGTATTGTACCACCAACAACAATCATAGCAATATCCAAGGTGGGAAAGTCATCTTGGCTATTTCCCTGCTACTCAGCTCAGTGTCCTCCCCTTTCACACCAGCATACCTATATGTATGTATTATCTTGAGATCCACTATCACAATCACAAGGCTTACTTCAACAATCCCTTGGCTCTATGTACTTGACTACTGAGAGACCAAAAAAAGCAATTTCTTGGAAGCGTTGTCCCTTCCATGTCTCACCCTTCTGACCTTGATGTACATCACTGTGTTCGTCTCAGTTTTGGGATTCATATAATCTTTGGAGTGCTAGAATCATAAGGATTGCAGCAGTGAAGGAGAGGCCATACCACTAGATTCCTAGTGCAGCTTGAAATGAACTATTAATACAGTTTTGTGGTTGGTTGACTCGCCGAGCTGGCTCCTTGTTCCACAGACATTTCATTACCTTGCTAGGTAACATCAGTGCAGCTTCCGATGAAGCGCTGTTGTGTTTTCCTGCCTGTCATTTAAACTCTGGTACCTGTTGAGCTAGATTATCTCACTTCTGGTTTTCAAACTCAATGGAGTGTATATGGGGTCTAGCTCTGTGTTTATTGATGGCTTTCTTAGTGGAGTACCAGGCTTCTAGGAATTCCCGTGCTTGCGTCTGCTTTGCCTCTCCCATGATCCTGGTGTTGTCCCAATTGAATTGGTTGTTTTCCTTATCCATGTGGATGGAGATGAATGAGTATTGGTCGTGTCTTTTGTTGCCAGTTGATGTTCGTGTACCCTTGTTAATTTCCTTCCTGTTTGTCCAATGTAGTGTTTGTCGCAGTCTTTGCAGGGAATCTTGTATATGACGTTGGTCCTGCCTATAGTGGGTATAGGGTCCTTGGCCCGGGTGAGCAGTTGGCGTAGGGTTGATGTGGGTTTATGTGCTACTCTGATGCCCAGTGGTCATTATTAACCACAAGGGTACACGAACATCAACTGGCAACAAAAGACATGAACAATACTCACTCATCTCCATCCACATGGATGAGGAAAACCACCAATTTGCTTGGGACAACACCAGGATCCTGGAACAGGCAAAGCAGAGACAAGCACGGGAATTCCTAGAAGCCTGGTACTCCACTAAGAAAGTGTCAATAAACACATAGAGCTAGACCCCATATATATTCCATTGCGAAGGAAAACCGGAAGTGAGGTAATCCAGTTCAACGGACACCAGAGTTTAAATAACAGATGGGAAAACACAACAGCACTTCATCGGAGGCTGCACTGACGATGAAACATCTGCGGAACAATGAGCCAGCTCAGTCACCCAACCAACCACAACATCCACAACCCGAGCTACAAATCTACTTTAAAACCTTAATGCAGTTTTGTCAGCGTGATTAATACCTTTTGGGAAAATGGGTGTGGGGAGAGGATACATTCATCTTTTAAGGGAGAATGTGTTTTTTCATATGTGCACTACTAATTAACAAAAACTACCAAAGCAGTTAACATCCAAGTCCTTGTTTATTTTGTAATTGGGAGTTTGAAATCGAATTGGTCTGCTATGTTTGTTTCTAAATTTTATATATAGAAAACATTAATGCGTCAAAGCCCCTTCTAAAATTGATGACTTTATTTTCAGGGTTTTGACACCCCATTACATTTTGCCTGTAAGTTTGGACATGCTGAGGTGGTTAATGTTCTATGCTCACATCCTGACATCAGCAAGGTTTCGAAGAACAAGTGTGGCCAAACTCCTATGGAGGTAAGATTTCATTATCTGATTTTTTTTTTTCCTGAAAATGATGTTAAATTAAAGTTTATTTTGTGAGCAGAATACATATGGTTGCCTTTTTTTCATTCCATAGGTTATCTGTGAAAGGAGTAAAAATAAATCTGAAGAACTAAAGGAAAAGATCCGAGAGTATTTGCAAGGTTTGCCACTGTGTGACTAAGGATTTAATAAAATGCATGCTATGCCATGCCATTGCACGGTTTGTTTCTTTGAAGGGCTTTCTATTGCTGAATAGCTCTTGATCAGATCTCTGGCTAGTCTGAGGAACTGGCTTATTAAAATTATGAGAGGTGTTATGGGAGATTTGCAGGGCCAGCCATCACTGGTACAGCAGGAGTGATAGCAGTCCAAAATGGCATTACTCTGAGACTATTAAAATATTGCTTTCTAGCAGTAATGTATATATTGAGGTTGGTTGGCTTGCCGAGCTGGTTCGTTGTTGTTCCGCAGACGTTTCATTACCCTGCTGGGTAACATCATCAGTGCAGCCTCCGATGAAGCGTCGTTGTGTTTTCCCATCTGGTTTTTAAACTCTGGTGTCCGTAGAGCTGGATTACCTCACTTCCGGTTTTCCTTCGCAATGGAGTATATATGGGGTCGAGTTCTATGTGTTTGTTGATGGCTTTCTTAGTGGAGTACCAGGCTTCTAGGAATTCCCATGCCTGTCTCTGCTATGCTTGTCCCTGGATCCTGGTGTTGTCCCAATCGAATTGGTGGTTCTCCTTATCCATGTGGATAGAGATGAGTGAGTATTGGTCATGTATAATTTTTGTAGCCAATTGGTGTTCGTGTACTCTTGTTGTTAATTTTCTTCCTGTTTGTCTGATTGTAGTGTTTGTCACAGTCTCTGCAGGGAATCTTATATATGACATTTTTCCTATCCATAGTGGGTAGTGGATCTTTGGTTCGGGTGAGCAGTTGTCGTAGGGTTGATGTGTGTCATCAATCCTACGACAACATCCACAGCCCGAGCTACAAATCTACTCCAAAACCTTAGTAATGTATATACTTCTGACTATATTTTGCAAATAAAGGGTCACGGAAGTATATTGAAAAGAAGTACACCTTCCCGTTTAAGGCAGATTACAATCTGGACTTCTTTAACTTAAGTTTTCAAAGCATTTAAAAGTTACTTTTCTGTATGAATATGACCTTTTATATCTTTACTGCATGCATGAGTATTAACCCTGTTGGCATGGCAGTACTTGTATAAGGTGCCGTGTGTATTAAAGGGTTCAATTAGGTCATTTAGTTTTGCTCACATGAGTTTGCTAAGAGCAAGAGGGAAATAAGGGGGTAATTTTCACCCTACAACCTGAGTGGTAATCTGAAGAAGTGGCTTGCCTGCCCCTGCCTGATTTTACTCCATTTATTTTTCCTTCAATAGATTCATGTCTGACTGATGGCCTATAAGTTGGATCACTTGTATCTTCAGAGAGTCATTGGTGTTATTTTCCTTACCATTTCTGCTTCTGTGTAGTGTTCATAGAGGAATGGGGCTAGAAGGAATTCTTGTGCTGTATTACCTTCTACGAAGTGTCCTCATACTACCCTGTAATTCCTTTCAGAAGATTGACACACACATTTGTTCTAATTGGGATATACTAATCCTGTTTCAGCTAGACACTGCGCATGATGTACCTTATTGCAAGTAACAGACAGTTGTGATCTTGTGGTTAGACCAGCAGATGTGGGAACTCTCAACAAATGGTGTATGTTATCCAGTTGTAATGATGTATCTCCAGAAGGTGGTGCTAATGCTGCATATTCTGCCTTGAACTCATCTAAGCTTTTCAAGAATAGTTTGTGAATATGGCAAAAATCTTGTGCCAAACTCTCATTATGTGCCAATTTGTGGAACTGTTTTCTTACTAACTTTCTAACGTAACGAAATTGCTACCTAAAGATTTTTATGATTTGGAAGGTTAACATAAAGACCATAATTTATGTATGTACTTCTAATCTGTTTCCTAATTTGATCTGCTTTGCTTTAATATTGGTTTTCTTACACTTCTATAACTTGGTGTCTTGTTCTGTTGCAGGATTTTTGGTTATAAATACAAAGTTGGTATTAAAATTGAGCTACCAATATTCTGTTTCAGATCGATATTATGTACCATTGCTAAGAGATACTGACAACTCCTGCCCACCTGTAATTGGTTCTCCCTGGTCACCTGATCAGTCATCTGACCAGCATTGTACATCTTTATCCAGGCACACTGGGAATCCCAAGGATCCGGTTATGGAAGTTAGAGCATTTGCAGGACCTATGCCTCCATCCAAGGTAACAGTTTCTCTTTTTAAAACTGCATCTCTGTTATTTAGGTATGTGATAATTGAATAAAATGTATTCATACGTTGTAGCTGTTCTGATGATGCATGTACGTCAGAACATTATTCTTAAAATTGTTTTGTAAGCATGTGCAAATTCTGGATCCTAATCCATTTTTTAAAAAATTATTCTTGCATCACGTGAGATCTCTACTAACAATTGTAGTGCTCAGTGATCATTTTCAATTACTTTGCTTGTATTTTCCTGATTATTAGTTCATTCATAATAGGACAGAGAGTATGGAAAGGGACAGGAATCTAACTTCAGGCACAGCCAATAAGGGGACAGTTATGAGATGTGGGGAGGTAGTCAACACAGGACTGAATGTGTTGTACTGAAATGTGTGCAGTATATGAAACAAGGTAAATGAGCTTGTAGCAGAGATTGAAATTCATAGTTGGTATCAGAAACATGCTGCAAGAGGATCAGGGCTGGACTAAACATCCAAGGATATAAGTTGTATTGAGAGGACAGGTAGAGGAGGTGGGGTTACCTTGTTAGTAAGAAATTAAATTAAATCAATAGCAAGAAGCGATATAGGATCTATATAGGGTATAGAATCCATGTAGGTGGAGTTGAGGAACAGCAAAGGATAAAACCCTGATGGGAGTTGTGCAGAGGCCACTTAGCAGTAGTCAGGATGTGGGGATGAAAATAAATCAAGAGATAGAAAAGGCAAGCAAGAAAGGCGCTATTACAGTAATCATGGGGGTCTTCAATATGTAGGTCGACTGGGAAAACCAGGTTAGTAGCAGAGCCAAAGAAAAGGAATTCATGGAATGTCTATAAGGTGGTGTTTTGGAGTAGCTTGCAGTAGAGCCTACTGGGGAATGGGCACTTCTGGATTTGGTGATGTGTAATGAGGCAGACTTGATTGGGAAGCTTAAGGTAAAGGAACCCCTAGGGGCACAGAATGATAGAATTCACCCTGCAGTTTGAAAGGGAAAAGCTTGAATCAAATGTAACGGTATTACAATTAAAGGTAACTACAAAGACGTGAGTGAGCAGCTGGTAAGAGTTGAATGGAGTGGGAACCTAGCAAGGAAGATGATGGAGCCACAGTGTCAGGAGTTTCTGGGGTAATTTGGGAGGCACTGCAGAGATTCATCCCAGGGAAGAAGAAACATACTAAAGTGAGGACAAGGCAACCATGGCTGACAAGGGCATAAAAGCAAAAGAAAAAGCATACAATATGATGAAGATTAATGAGAAGCCAGAGGATTTCAATGCCTTTAAAAGCCAACAGATGACAACTAAAAAAGAGGGAGAAGATGAAATACAAGGATAAGCTAGCTAGTAATATAAAAGAAGATTGGAAGAGGTTTTTTTAGATGCATAAAATGTAAGAGAGAATCAAGAGTGGGCATTGGGACTGTTGGAAACTGAGGCTGGAGAAGTAGTAAAGGGGAACAAAGAAATGGTGGAGGAACTCCGCCACATCCTGACTACAGCTAGGACGTCAGTACATGACACCCGTCAGTTTGGGGTACTGTTGAAAAGGATAATCTCTGAGGTAAATAGAAGAGACAGTCAGATTTTGCGCTCTAAGAAGCTAGAAGTTAGACAGGGTTTGACAAAGTTTAAAAGAATAATTGTTATAGGGGACTGTCCTGTCAAGGTCACAGGCAGGAGATTCTGCAGCAGTGAGCATGAATCTAGGATAGTATGTTGCTTTCCTGGTGCCAGGATTAAGAAACTATCGAAACATTTGAGGGGAGACTGAAAAACCAGAAGTTATTGTACACATTGGTGGGAATGGCATAGTTCGGGAAAAGATTAAGGCTTTACAGAGTGAGTATAAGAGGTTAAGTATAAGATTAAAAAACAGAACCTCAAAAGTAGTAATCTCTGGTTTACTCCTGGTGCCAAGCTCAAATGAGGGAAAGAATAAAGGAAATAAATCAATGGCTGAAGAGGTGGTGTAATGTTCAGGGATTCAGGTTCTTGGAAAAGTGGGATCTCTTCTAGGGCAGAAAAGACCTATTCAGAATGGATGGGTTTCACCTGTACTAGAAAGGGACCGATATCCTAGTGGGAAGATTTGCTAATTCTATTAAGGGAGACTGTAAGCTATTGGAGAGAGGTGGGGAGGGGGGTGGGGGGGTGGTGTTCCTAAGTAGCAGAGTAAATAGAAAGACAGAGGAGGATGGTTTGGAATCTGAAAAGAACAAGTTAATTAGAAAAGACAGACAACAGCAAGTCAGAGAACCAAGTAACTTTGATGAATTAAACTGCATTTATTTCAATGCAAGGGATCTTGCATGTAAGGCTGATGAACTCGGGACATGTTTGGGAGCCGGGAATTTGGACGTCAAAGCTATTACAGAAACTTTGCTAAAGAACGGACAGGACAGGCAGCTCAGTACTCCAGGTTTCAGATGCTGTAGGAAGGATAGAAAAAGAGGCAAAAGAGGAGGGGGAAATGGCTTTCTTGATTAAGAAAAGCATTACTGCTGTAACTAAAGTAGTATTTCTGAAAATATATAGGTTGAAATTAAAAATAAAAGGAAAGATTATCTTGGAATTCCCAAAATTATCTTGGATCTCCCAAAAGTCAGAGGGAAGTTGAAGAACAAATATGTGGAGAGATAGTAAGAACTGCAGATGCTGGAGTCAGAGTCAATACAGTGTGAAGCTGGAGGAACAGAGCAGGTCAGGCAGCATCAGAGGAACAGGAAAGTCATCAGGATGGGGAAGAGAACTCAGAAATATGTAGAGGGAGGGGTGTGGGTCTGAGGTACATAGGTGGGATGGTGATAAGTAGATGTAGGTGGGGGGTGTGGAGATTGGTCAGTGGGGGATGGGATAGGCAAGAAAGATGATGGACAGGTTGTGTTAGGTCAAGGAGGCTGGGATGAGAGGAAGGGTTGGACATGGGATGAGGTCAGGGTTGGGGAGATTTTGAAACTGGTGAATTCTATGTTGAGGCCATTGGGCTGTAAGCTACCGAGGCGGAATGTGAGGTGTAGTTCCTCCAGTTTACGTGTGACGTCGTTGTGGCACTGGAGGCAGCTCAGGATGGACATGTCACTCGGAGTGGGAGGGGCTGTCAAAATGGTTGGCAACAAGAAGTGTTATCGTGTGCGGAGTGCAGATGCTCCACAAATCGGTCACCGAGTCTGCGCTAGGCCTCACCAATGTAGAGGAGACCATATTGGGAGCAATGGATACAGTAGACCAGGTTGGAGGACGTACAGGTGAATCCTGTCGGATTTGGAAAGATTGTTTGGGGCCTTGGACAGAGGTGAGAGGAGAGGTGTAGGGGCAGATGCAGCACCTCCTACGGTTGCTCTCAGATATATGTAAGAAGAAAAGATTGTAATAGTAGGTGATTTTAATTTTCCAAACATTGATTGAGACTGCCATAATGTTAACGGTTTATATGGTGAAGAATTTGTTAAACATGTTCAGAAAATTCTCTTTATCAACCTGTAACTGCTCCCACTAGAGAAGGAGCAAAACTTGACCTTCTCTTGGGTAATAAGACAGGGCAAATGACTGAAGTGATAGTTGGGAAACACTTTGGGTCTAGTGATCATAATTCTATTTATTTTAAAATAGTTATGGAAAGGGATAAGCCTTCCATAAAAATTAAAGTTTTTAATTTGAGTAAGGCAAATTTTAATGATATGAGACAAGAACATGCAAAAAATTGATTGGAGTGGACTGTTCTCAGGCAAAGGGACATCTGATAAGTGGGAGGCTTTCAAAAGTGTGATAACGAGAGTTTGGAGTCATTATGTTCCTATTAGAGTGAAAGGTAAGGCTGGTAGGATTAGAGAGCAATGGGTGAATAAAGATATTGAGGTGTTGGTCAAGAATAAAAAAGAATTGTATATTAGATATAAACAACTGAGTTCAAATGAATCTCTTGCACAGCACAAAGAGTGAGGGACATTCTTAAGAGGGAGATCAGGAAGGCAAAAAGAGTTTGAGATAGCCTTGGCAAATAAGGTTAAGGATAATCCAAAGAGATTCGACAAGTATGTTAACGGTAAGAGAGCAACTAGAAAGCAAGTAGTGCCCCATAAAGACCAAAAGGCCATCATTGTGTTGAAACTCTGGAGATGTCAGGATATTAAATGAATATTTCATATCAGTTTTTACTGTGGAGAAAGAAATGGAGGTTGGAGAATTCAGGGGAAATAAATATTGACCTTCTGAAAACAGTTCACATTACAGAAGAGGAAGTGCTGGAGGTCTCATAAAATATAAGATGGATAAATCTCTGGGATTTGTATCCCAAGACTTTGTGGGAAGTTAGGGAGGAAATTAGGCAGGACCTCTTGCAGCAATACTTGAATCACCTATAACAGATGATGTGCCAAATGATTGGAGAGTCACTGATGTTGTGCCTTTGTTTAAGAAAGAATGTAAGGAGCAGCCTGGGAACTATAGACTTGAGAGTCTGACTTTGGTGGTGGGTATGTTGTTGGAAGTGATTCTGAAAGGTAAGATTTATATGCGTTTGGAGAGGCAAGGAATGATTCGGTGTGTTCAGCATGGTTTTGTGCAAGGGAAATCGTGTCTCACAAATTTGATTAATTTTTTTGAGGAAGTAACTGAGAAGGAAAACTGGTACACATTGTTTACTCGGACTTTAGTAAAGCTTTGATAAGTTAGGCTAATTAGTAAAGTTAGATCACATGGGATTCAGGGTGAGTTTGACTATTGGATATAAAATTGGCTTAAAGGCACAAGATAGACAGTGATGGTGGGCAGGTTGTTTTTTTGGACTGAAGGCCTGTGACCAGCAGTGTTCTGCAGGGATCGGTGCTGGATCCACTGTTGTTCATCATTTATATAAACACTTTAGATGAGAACATAGAAAGCATGATTAGAGGATGACGCCAAGATTGTTGATATAGTGGACAGTGAAGAAGATCGAAGATTACAGAGATCTTAATCAACTGGGTCAGTGGGTTGAAGAGTGCCAGATGGGGTTTAATTTAGATAAATGGGAAGTGTTGCATTTCAGTAAAACAAACAAAGGCAAGACATACAGTTAAAAGTAGGGCCTTGGGTAGTGTTGTAGAGCAGATACCTAGGGGTTCAGTTACATAATTCTTTGAAGTGTGCATCACAAATAGATAGGGTGGTTAAGAGGGTGTTTAGCATGCTTGCCTTCATTGCTCAGACGTTTGAGTATAGGAGATGGGACGTTATATTGAGGTTTTGCAGGATGTTGGTGAGGCCTCTTCTGGAGTACGCTGTCCAGTTCTAATCTCCATTATAGGAAGGATATTATTAAGCTGAAGAAAGTTCATTAGAGATTTACCAAGATGTTGCCAGGAATGGAGGATTTGAGTTTAAAGAGATGCTGGATAGGCTGGCGGTTTTTGCACTGGAGCTTAGGAGATTGAGAGGTGATTTGGAAGAGGTTTATAAAATAATGAGGGGTGTAGATAAGGTAAATGGCAGGTGTCTTGTCTCTAGATTCAAGACTAAGGGGTGTATTTTTAAGATGAGAGGAGAAAGATTTAAAAAAGACTTGGGGGAAGTTTTTTTTTAAAACAGTGGTTGGTGTGTGGAATGTGTTGGATGTGGGTACAGTTACGACATTTAAAAGGCATGTAGATAAGTACATGAATAAGAAATGTTTGGCGGGATCTGGGCCAAGCGCTGGAAGGTGGGACTAGTTTAGTTTGGAGTTAAGGTCAACGAGGACTGGTTGGACTGAAGGGTCTGTTTCCATGCTGTATGACTCCGTAGCTGAATAGGTGCTTTGCATCAGTCTTCAGTGGAAGACACCAATAGCATACCAGAACTCCGAGAGACAGGAGACAGAGGTGAGTAGTAGCTGGGAAGAAAGTGCTGGGAGCCTGAAAGGTCTGAAGGTGGACAAATCGGACCAGATAGACTAAATCCCAACATTCTGAAGGAGATAGTCAAGGATATTGTGGAGGCATTGTTGGTGATCTTTCAGGAATCACTGGAGTCAGGGACGGTCCCAGAAGACTAGAAAATGGCTAATGTAAGACTCTGTTTAAGAAGGAAGGAAGACAGAAGACAGGAAATTTTTAGGCCGGTTAGGCTGACCTTGGTTGCTAGTCAGATTTCAGATCCATTATTAAGGATTCCACCAAAGTGGTGAATCTCTGGAACTCATTGCCTCAGAAGATTGTTGAGGCCAAGTCATTGGGTGCTTTAAGATAGAGATAGATAGATAGGTTCTTGATTAGTAAGGGGAATCAAGGATTACGGGAGAAGGCAGGGGAATGGGACTGAAAAACATTGCAGCCTCGGAAATGGCAGAGCAGACTCGGTGAGCCAAGTGGCCTCATTCTGCTACTATATCTTACAGTCTATTCACTGGCTCCCTGCATCCTCGCTAACAAGGATAGTACAAACGGATGAGTAGTTGAAGGAATGACAGGAACATGACAGGCTATACAACGAAAAAAAATAGGAAATAGTGGAACTACTCAGCAGGTCTGACACCATTTGTAGAAGGAGTTAACGTTTCAGATTGGTGACCTTGGTCAGAAGTTTAGGAAATGATTGGTATACTAGTTTGCACAAGTGAAGATTCCTAAGGATTTTTCAGTTTTTTTCACGTTAATTAAAAAGTCATCAAATGAAGCTAGATTTACTCTTCCATAAAGCTTTTTTACCTATCTAACACCAAAGTCGCTTCTTCACTCTCAATTAAGCAGGCATTCAAAAGACCATCAGCAGGTATGTACATGACAGAGAAATGTTCATCTCTGGGAACCAGTTTTGGCCAGTTGAGCTCATTCAGCCAGGTCTCTGTTCTGTAGTTGGATGTTTCCCTCTCCCCACTAATATCCCCGAGAGATATTTAACTCATTGAGGATAGTTTAGGAGGAGCAACATTGTAGAAAGAATGAAAATTATGTCATACTAGCAAGGTTGTCAGATCTATTGTGTATGTATAGCGCTGATGTTTTTACAATCATTTTTTTCCCCTTGGAACAGATGCAGTTTATTTATACTGTTGTCAATCTTGTTTCAATTCAGGCAGAGGAATTTCGGAGAGTATGGAAAACTCCATCTCGAGAGAGAGCAAGTGAATTTAAAAAGGCAGATGCTGAGCGAGGCTATGAGAGAGTTGGAAGGTAAGGACAACAAATCGCAGGCTACAGTTTCCTCTCTTTTAAATATGAAAATGAGAACATGAATGGTTCATTCTACGCAGATATAGTCCAACAATATCAGATGTTGGTTGGCTCAGTTGGCTTGGACAGCTGGTTGGTAATAAGAGTTATGCCAACAGCTTGGATTCATTTCCTTTATCAGCTGAGATCACCAAGAAGGTTCCAACTTCTCGATTTTGCCCCTCACCTGAGATGTGGTGACCCTCATGTTTAACCACCAGCAGTTGTGTGTGTCTAATAAGAGAATAGTCCTGTCGTCCTTTGGGCTTATTGGCAACTTTACCTTTTATGTTTATATACACCATAGATACTTCTGCTAAATAGAAAACAGTCACTCCTCACTGCAGAGATTTTCAAGCAACGTTCAAGTGTAATATCAAAAGTGCTGACATTCTCCCAAGCTGTCATCTTAATGTTGTATCCAGTCTTACAGTTCTGAAGGACCTATGATTAATTGACAGCTTATGCTGACTTAGTTGACCCTGATTTGAGTGTTTCTTGATCCAGAGAGGGAGAGTTTCCACCAGGGCCCTCTATCTGATTTCTTGTGAGAGGTTACACATCGGTGGGCATCACTTCAAACACCATCAGAATGGGTGATGTTTCCTTCACAGTTGAAAAGTGCACTAGAACTCCTGTCTGAATCACTTAACCACTGCTGACACCCATTCAACTCAACCTATGTTGTACTATCAGAGAAAAAATATAAGGAAACTAGGTTGATGAGCTCCAGTTTTAATAAACAGCCTAAAGATCACAGCAGTAAATATAAAGTTATACATGTTAATTCAAGAAAGAAGGAAACCATTCTAACTACAGGTCATTTGAAACTAACATCTTTCATAAGGGAAAATGCTAGAATCTATTATTAAGGTGTTTATAGTGGACCACTTAGAAAATGTCAATACACTTAGAAAGAACCAGCACAGTTTTGTGAATGAGAAATCATGTTTAACTAATTTATTAGCGTTATTTAATGAAGTAATCAGTAATATAAAGGGGAACCTGTAGACATGGATGTATTCTAATTTCCAGAAGGCATTTGGTAAGGTGCCACATCAAAGGTTACTAACAAAGTAAGGGCTCACGTGTAGAGATAACATTGTAATGGATAGAGGATTAGTTGGCTGATAGGAAGCAAAGGGTAGGGTCCTCAGTAAAGGACTCCCCTTTGTCCCCCTCCACCCAAACATCGACAAATACAACTCACGTTTGGACGTTGAACAGTTTTTCCTCCGCCTCCATGCTTACTTCTTTAACTGTGAGCCTGACCCTCCCTCTACTGACCCCTTCTCCCACCTCCAACACACCCCCTCCTCCTGGACACCACCCCAAAGCCTCCTACCCTCCCTCGACCTCTTCATCTCTAACTGCCTTCGAGACATCAATCGCCTCAACCTCTCCACCCCTCCCCCACTCCAAACTCTCCCCCACAGAACGTGCAGCCCTCCGCTCCTGCTCCAACCCCAATCTCACCATAAAACCCGCGGACAAGGGAGGCGCAGTTGTAGTATGGCACACTGACCTCGACCGCCGAGGCCAGACGCCAACTCTCTGACACCTCCTCCTACCGCCCCCTTGATCATGATCCCATCCCGATCACCAAACCATCATCTCCCAGACCATCCACAACCTCATCACTTCAGGTGACCTCCCACCCACAGCCTCTAACCTCATCGTTCCCCAACCCTTCACCACCCGTTTCTATCTCCTTCCCAAAATCCACAAACCTGACTGCCCTGGTCGACCCATTGTCTCCACCTGCTCCTGCCCCACCGAACTCATC